TTATTTATTTATTTATTTGATTTATATCCCACCTATCTGGACCACCGGCCCACTCTAGGCAGCTTCCAATACAAGATAAAAATAATAAAACACAAAATGTACATAATCATTCAATAGCAGTTATAATAAATAAAATAGAAAAGAGTTAAAAAGAAAAGTCAGGAATTAGCTGGAGGGAAGGCCTGGATGTAGAACCAAGTTTTTAATTGGGTTTTAAAAGTACCCAGCGTAGGGGCCGTGCGAATCTCCGAAGGGAGGTTATTCCAGAGGCGAGGAATAATTATGAGTATCTGATGTTTCTAAGGTTTGTAAGAAAGGAAATGTACTCTGCACTCACAGCTCATATTTTGCCTCAGTAAAAGCACAAGTCTGACATCAGTTTTGCAGATTATACAGGCTTGTAGACTTGTTCCTTAAAAAAAATAAAAAAAGGAATGCATTTTAGAAGAAATGGAAATGTGATGAGAAAACAGACATCAACTGTAAACAACACGTGCAGTCCTTTTTACGTCATTTAATTGCAGTGCCTGTATATATTGTAGAATTGCTTCTCCAGATGTAAACTTACTTTACTTTTTAGTTCTGCCTGCTACTGCAACTGATAAGGTTTCAGCTGTTGGTAGGCTTGGGTACACTTGGTGGGTGGATTCTGTATTAATGTGTGCAATGAAGCAAGTTTCTGAGAGCAGAGTTGTATTTGATTGTTCTTGCAGGTGTTCAGCTTGGTTGCATCAGTTTGTCAACAAATTACTTTCCCTGGGTTTTCAGAGTATATCCTCTTCTGACTTGCTCTTGCACTGTATACTTTTTAGATACGGGGAGAGGCTGGCAGGGAGCTGTACAAGGCATTCGTGCTGTGTCCTCAACAACTGGAAAGCCTTAAACCTTCTTTACACATCTGGGATTTTAGCAAGTTTTGGGTGCTCATATTTTTTTAAAAAACAGCAGCACATGTCAGATCTACTTTGGCTTGGATCCCTGCATTGAGCTGGAGGTTGGACTCCGTGGCCTTACAGGCCTCTCCCAACTCTATGATTCTAGGCTTCTTTGAGTAGGAGATAGGAAGTAAAACAAACATGACTCATAACAAGGACCTTAAACCGTAAGGGCTTGTTGTTAAAGAAATATAAGAGAAATGTAAGATTCTCAAAGAAGTGGAGCCCAAAACAGTTCATTTGGTTTTTTCTGTACTCCTGTAGAATCATGAGATACATACTTATAGCTGCTGTTATTAGTGCTGTTGCTATTGCTAGTACTACCACTATTTTTGTAATTAAGAGGTGTAAAAAGGATCTTTTAAAAAGGACTGATGAAATATCAGAAAGTACCGTGTGTGTATACACACACACACACACACACACTAGAAAGTACCGTGTGTGTGCACGCGTGTGCGTGCGCGCACACACGTGCATGCGTTCATGCACTCATATGTGTGCACAGACATCTTCCAGGAAATATCATTGATGAAGGTGCTGTTGCTTTATAGGTGATGTTCTATGTTTCTCCCTTAACCTTCATACATTGTATGTCAGTATGTTTTTTGTATGTCAGAAACTTCTTTTAATTTACATGCAGTGATGGTTTGAGTTTATGTATCAGACAGATGCCTAATTTCAGAGTGTGCTCAGATTGTAGGGCTGACGGCTTCTCTTGGAGTTGGCAATGCAAAAAACCTGGAAGAGACCATAGAGCACATCTGTACAATTTCTGCTTCACTCAATGCTCAAGTCATATCAACCATCAGAGAGAACCTAGAGGAGCTCCAGGGGATTGTTAATATGCCCCAAAAATGTATGTATGGCTTATGGTTGCTGTGCTTCCATGGGAGGGAGTTTTTGGTCCTGTCTATACTACAGCACAAGCTGTCCTTCATTGCATGCAGAATCCATACCTGGGCCCACTGCAGAGAGGCACAGAGATACTGTGAGATCAACCTATGGCAGACACATATCTATCTTCCTGGTTGCTCTCTGGTGTTCTGATTCACAGACCCTAGTGGGACGCCTTGAACTACTATAGCTGCTGTCCCCTCTTTACTGTTTCTGGAGAGAAACCTACAGTCTAATGTGTGGTAGACGACCTGTCATGACAAAGTTCCCTTATAGATGGCACCACTCTCTTCACAACTTCGGTTAACTCTGTTACACTGTTTTGTCTACCATTTGCTGCTGCAAGCCCACTTGTGGAGAACAGGAGAGGCTTGAGGATGACTAGGCTAAACGACTAACTGGTTCACCATCCTGTTCTCAAGTATGGCCAGCCAGATTCAGGAAGTCCACAAACAGAAAATGAGCAAAGCCTTCTCCACTGTTTCTTTCCTTGGCAACTGAAGGCTGTAATTCTTATCTTTGGCCAGGGGTGTTAGTGAGACAAGAGGCACCCCATGGCAGCTTTGTAAATTGATCCATTGTGGCTGTTACAGTGGTGCCTCGCAAGACAAATGTAATTAGTTCTGCGAGTAGCGCTGTCTTGCGAAAAAATCATTTTGCGAAAAGCAGTTTCCCATAGGAATGCATTGCAATGCATTCCTATGGTAATCTTGCAAGGCATAAGTCTCAGGGGGAAAAAAGCACGTCTTGCGAAGCACAGCCATAGAAGAAGCCGTCTTGCGAGGCAGCATAATGATAAAAAAATCCCTATTCTCAGTTAAATTCAGCTCTCAGGGCTGAGATGTCTGATCACAGTTTTAAGATCTACCACTTCTGCTGGGGGTGGGGGACTCTGGCAGTTGCTGATTATCAAGTTCTAAGTGACGACATACGGCTAATGAGAGCCCCACCCTTTCTTTTTTTCATAACACAGCAACTAGACTTGTAAAGAAACGGCCCCCAAATCAATTTGTGAGTGTTCTTTTGCACTTGATGTCTGAAACGGAAGCGCTGGCAAGCAAACTTTATCCAATAGGTAAGATTTTGGAGCCGGGTTGGTGCCCGTGTTCTTATTTTACCTCTCTGGAGCTGGATTGTCTTTTTCCAGGTAACTTTTAATTCTTTTAGGCCCATGACTAAGCAAAACAGGTCTCCAAATTTTAGCCCCATGCCCAGCCTAGGTATCTCTTTCTTGCTTTTCAGTTTACTCTTACTTGGTGTGAGATGTGCGTCTGCCAGGATGAGGCCGAATGGAGCAGAATGTGTACAGGTGTTACGAGCTCTCCTGCTGTGGGTTGAAAAACCAACAAAAGCAGCCAAAACTGCTGTGGACGCCTGGACCCTTGAAACCAAAAGCACGTTAAACTTGCTCAGTAATAATTTCTCCAGGCAAGGCCAGCCAGACATCTAGAAAAATGTGCATATCTGAATTCATCCTAGACTGTGGGTAGTTTTCTAGAAGTGGTGTGGATGAATTGAGAGCAAGAGATTCCTGGAAAGCAGCCAGTTATTGCCCTTCCTGGCCGTGACATAGCCTTGTGCTACGCTGCAGTTGTGCATGTCTACACAAGTAATACATGCACCTGGAAGCACAGAGAAGATGGTCAGTCTACGGATGAAATTCATTTACTAGACTTAACTGTACAGAGCCATATGTACCGTTTCTTGCTAGCCAATGAAATGAGTAGGTAGATTGGACTGCTGTGTAGCCCATTGCGGCTCTTGTAGAGTTTAGTAGTTAATTAACCGATAAGCCTTTCTCCCCACCAGATAATTTGTCCCTAATCAGCACCCGGGATTTTGGAACCCAGAAATATGAGCAGTGGATCGTTGATGTACAGAAGAAATGCCGACTGTTAGAACTGCCAGATAAGGAGGAAGAAGCGAGGATTTGCAGGGCACTCTTTGTTTATACAGAGCACCTCCGGGTGAGTTTCTTATTTGCCAGCAGGCAGCAGCACTTCCGCTTCTAGGAGAAAAAGCCTTGCATTTTACTTGGCCTTGTCACTTTCGGGTGGACTTTGCCCTTCAGTTATTGAATTCTTCACTTCATTGTCTAGTCATGAGATCAGACTCCATCTGTGTAGGATGGCAAGGGTGGGGTGGGGTTAGTGCCTTCCTTCCACGGAGCTGTTTTTTGACACGCTGTTTCTGTGAACTATCTTAACTTGTACAGCCTAACTTTTGTAATAAGCTGGTATTTGTAAATTATCTTCCATGACAATGATTTTATATAAGTCTTTGTTGGTGTCAGCCATTTTGTGTGGCTTCCCAGGCAGTCTTATTTTCACCTTGTAAAATGAGCATATCCTATAAGTAGCTTTTGAATTTTTCTTTATGTCCAGAAATATAACGATGCCCTCATTATTAATGAAGATGCGCGTACCTGTGATGCGCTGGATTATCTGAAGGAATTCTTTGATAATAACAGAAGTGGAGGGTTTGATGAAATAGAACAGCAGTTGGCCTCAAAATTTGAAGGTACTTAATGGAAAAAATGAAGTGTACCCTGTTTGGTGTGTCCTTATTTTACGCCAAGAAATGGAGATTTTGTGTGTGTGTTGGATAGTTGTGTGAGAGCAAGAAAAGAAATTGCACTGTTCTTTCAGCACAAGGGTAAAAGCAGCCTCATCAGCCATTAAGGCCCCTTCAAATGCAGATGCTGGGCAAACCTAGCTTAGCAAAGAAACATTTAATTATTTTCATAAAAGCAGCTTGGATACAATATCCAGTTTTTGTGTTTTCCTGATAAACACAATTCCTGAAAATTTCCACAATTTTCTTTGTATTCTCACAATATGCAAACAACATAATTGTGTAATTAGTAAAATGAAAGTGCACATAAATAGTGAATAAACTGGTGATTTGCATGCTGTAGGTGTTGGATTCCATCATCCATCAGTCCCAGTCACTGTGGCGTGTTAGTGGTGATGGGAATTGTAGTCGAGCAACATTTGGAGGATCACGCTTCATGGAGTAAGCAGTGCATTTGTAGTGGGCTGGGAAGCAATCGACCATTTATTTACTTAAAATAGTTACGCCTTGCATGTCTCAGAATTGGTTTAGAGAAAAATGTGGTGCAATACCATAAAACCAAAGAAGGGAATTATAGCAACAAAACAAGTGCTGATACTTAGGATTCATCTAAATGAGTAAGTTGTAAAATAAACATTTCTTTTAAAGGGTTGTATAAGTTTATCAGATGATATGACACTTCCAGGTAATTCCAAATGATGAACTTTTATGTTCTGTAGAGCACTCATTGTCAACCGTGTTTCGGCCATAGTTAGAAACGCCATACGAAAGAAATACAGGGCGACTCAGGACTGTATAAGGCATACAATGAATCTGACAAGATGGTGTTTGAAGAATTGTTTCTAGTTTCTGTTGTTGTTGTTTAGTCATTAAGTTGTGTCTGTCTCTTCGTGACCCCATGGACCAGAGCGCACCAGGCCCTCCTGTCTTCCACTGGAGGTCAAATTTGGGTCAAATTCATGTTGGTAGCTTTGATGACACTGTCCAACCATCTCGTCCTCTGTCATCCCCTTCTCCTCCTGCCTTCTCACTTTCCTAACATCAGCGTCTAGAGAAAATTTCTAGCCTCTGGCCCCCATCAAACGTGCCAGGGAGTTGTGCCATTTGTGGGAAGGGTATGTGTTTCTGTCTCACATAAAAGACTTCTCTCTCCCCAGCTAAATACCTGGAGTTGTATGCAGCTTCTCGAGACGAATCCAATGAAAATCCAAAATTAGAAGACATGACTTTCATCCTGGAAGAAGAATATCGGCTCAAACCCCAAACACGCACTATACTCTTTGTTAAGACAAGAGCTCTAGTTACAGTAAGAGAACATCTCCCAAAAGCTTGTTCGGGACAATTTGCCCTCTTTATTAAAGTCCTCTTAGGACTTCTGCTGCTTGATCTGGGTCAAAATGTAAATAATTAATACTGGCCTTCTAGGCAATCACATTTACACAGGGGATATGGAAATAACTTGGAATACCACTACTGTGAATATTTCAGAATAAAGTCTGCAGCCCTAAAGCAAGGTTGTTCTGCTCTTTAGTTTTAACTAAGCTTTCAAACTCTGAAAGCAATAGCGGGGGGGGGGGGGGGGGG